TGTCACAAAAAAAAATCCCAGTAAACAGGTGTTATTGTGAGAAAATGAGAACATTTTCATGGGGTATGATTATCTTTCAAGGTCCTGTGTTTGTAAATGAATGTGTGCAGCACCCTTTCCCACACGGTGCAAGAAGCTGCTTTAGCTCTGTGTTTAAAGCATCATTTTTCCTCTTATTACAACAACTTCAAAGGGTTTTAACTGAGCCCTTTCCCCGTGTTGCCAAATCCTCCAAACTTTTCTGATTTAGTAAGCTGGCTTCGGGCCGAGCTGCACTGGGACAGGCCCGTTAACAACCAGCCGTTTGCTGGGAAGAGAAAAGAAGAAGGGAGAAACAAACAAGGCAGAAGGAGAAGCAGACCGAAACTGAGACAGAAATGAAAGAAGTGCTGAGAGATGCAGGCCTGCTAACAACACATGGAAGAGAAGGGTTGCTCAGGGAGGAAGACAGAGGCGGGAGATGGATATAAGAGGTGTGGGGATCGATTGAAAAGGGAGAGGAGAGCAGAGGCAAGCAGGGAGGAACATGGCTCTGAGGAGAAGGAGGAGGAGGAGGGCTGGAGCACCACTCCAAGAGCTGAGAGGAGTGAATGCCCTGGTGAAGGGGAAGGGAAAGAGGAAAGCAGAAGGGGGAGGGGAGAGGAGCACGGAATAAAGTCTGGCCAGAAAGGAAAAGAACAAGAGGGAGGAGAAGATAAAGAAGAAGAGCAAGAAGCGGCCACATGGACACAGGAAGTCTGGCACTTTCCACTGAGATGCCAAGTCATCAGATGGCGGTGTGTGTTCACACCCGAGAGATGTTGCAACCAAACGCGCCTCACTCCCTTCAAATCACTGCTACCAACAATAAGCAGCTGTTCTCCGCTTGGATGAGAGCTGGAGAGGAAACAAAAGTCTTTCAGTCCGAAGCACATGCGCTTTGGAGCAAAGCAAACCTCAGCGTCACCCTAAACTCCACCATCAAAGCGACTTCTGCACATTATGTCACACTTTTCCTTTAACTCTGCACTGATTCAAGCTCTTATGCGCCTCCATTCCCATCCATCTCTTATTCCGGGGTTAGTTTGATTAGATGCAAAGAAGCACTCAAGATGTTTAAATGGTGTGAAAAGTTTGGAATTTAAAAGCACAAAGAGCTTGATTTAAAACAAAAATGTTTCACTGAACTTTACCGGACCTAATTACTGATTTAATGCTTTCAATAAATCAATAATTTTTAAACAGTCAGACCCATTGAGCCATTTTACAAAATGTTCTGTATAAAACAAACAAATGCTACATTTAGAAATGTTCTCAAAAATGAATTTCTCTGATATTTCACTCAAGACAGAGTCAGTAAAATGAGGGCTGCATAATATTAGGAAAACCCAGAGCTGATATATTTTAAATGCTTAAACATCAGATTTAGATACATTTTCCTCATTTTTCAGTTTTTCTTGGCAGCATTAAGATGTGCCCACAATATTAGTGTGCTATAGCATCTTCTTAATAACAATTACAAATATACTGGTATCAAGTTTAGAAAATTTACTTTAAATTTACTGTGCATTAACATTTTTATTAAAGTAAAGTTATCTATCTATCTATCTATCTATCTATCTATCTATCTATCTATCTATCTATCTATCTATCTATCTATCTAATCGCTGTTTACTGTATTTTCCCACCACTCGTGACTAATTCCAGTAGAACATTATAAAGTAGTGATTTTATTTTTACATTTGCGTCAGAACTTTTTTTTCTCTTTGAATTAAACCAAGTTGACAGTTACAGTTTTCTCCCTCCAACCTCAGCCAGGCAGGCCGCTGCCCACACCAGCTGTCGCCTCTAAGCAGGGGGTCGTCTGGCGCGCTGCACCCGAGATCTGCCCCCCATACTACCCACGGTAGAGAGGAATAAGGGGTTCATGGATAGGAAGCTCGGTGGGGCATTTATCCACTGACTCAGCTGTCTGTGTCCCAAACACACCAGAACATCCACTCTCTCTCTTGCTTTCACTCTCTCAGACACTTAAGAAGCAGAGGAGATGCTGGCCCTGGGAGTCGGGGGAAGATGGCTATTGGGTGCTGTCAGGCAGTGGTAATCTGACTGGATTACCAACCAGGTGGAAAGATTCAGCCCATCTACCCCCCCATCTCTCTTCCTCTCTTCCTTCTCAATGTCAGCATCATCTCATCTCTTCCTTTTCAACCAGCTTTAACACAGTGACACGCATTCACCCAGACTCTGTTGCCATGTCTGCATTAACCATTCAGCTGCACGTCCCAAATTCCTCACCAAACGGTAAGCAGGTAGAGGAGTGCTTAGGGGTGTGTCATAGATGCCGGTGTTATGATCAAAGCCCAGAATCTTCCAAGAACCCGAAAGATTTTTTCCAGGTATAATCATGATGAACGGACAGGGTTGACATGAAGTCAGTGTGCAGATATTAGACACAGGTTCTGGAGTTTGGTGAACAAGACTGAACATGAAGTGAATTAGAGCGAGAGGGGCAAGAAAGACTCCACTGGGAGATTATCTGCTCCGACAAAACACGGGGAGTTAAAAAAACTGAAGCCTTCAGAGTTGTGAATGACTGTTTGTGCTGCATGACACTAATGTAAACTTTAATACAAGGTCACACACAAACGAACGCCCCCTCTCCCTCTCTCTCTCAAACACACACACACCCCACCATGTAAACAAAAACCGTCTGCTGTCTGGGAAGTAACACACCTGTTCAATGACAAGCACTGCCACTCCCTCCCCAGTCCTGCACACCTGTGCTACTTCAGGCTAAACCTAACCCTAATCTTATACACACACATAAACACGCACATGCAGTATAACTACTGCTGCCAGAGGCTAAGATCACAGAACAGGAAAAGGGGAAAAAAGGGAGAAGTGAATAAAACCGACAGAGTAAAAATAAGAGGAAAGAGGGCCCCAGACAGATGGACAGACAGACTCAAAGGTTTTCCCAGCACTTCTATCTGTAATCTGAACGCCTGTGTAATATCATTGTAGGGCTGAGTCCTATGGCGCTGGTATGCGTCTGTCATTCCACCACTTTGTCAAGAGAAACCATATTGAAGCAGACACCATGCTGATCTAAATGAGAGGCTTCAGCAAATTGATGGATTGCAGGTTCTCTGGGACGTGAAAAAATGGCAGAACAGAACAGTCCTCCTTTTCTTCTATTGTTTTATTTCTTTGAATTTCTGTAAGTGATACAGTGAATCTGATCAGGCTATAAATGTGTGAGTGCATGCATGCATGTGTGGGTGTGCTGCAGCTATATTCTGAAGCAAGCCCACTCCTGCTCATCGATGCCCAGCTCCGCATCATGGTTACCCCCTGTGAATAAGCCTAGGGCCAGGCATACAGCTCCCTGAATCTCTAAGGGGGGCAAGGACAAAGGTAACCCCCACCCCATCCCATCCTAACCTCAAACCAAACACACACATACATACACAAACCCAACCCCCCACCCCTAAACAACAGTCCTCCATGCCCATCATGTCAGTCAAAACCCCATAAGGGACATGCATGGAGAGTCTGAAAATGTGGAATCTCAATACAGTGTCATGCACTTTGAGACGCAGTGAGAGGCCCTCTTGAATATATTTCAATAGCATTATCACCCTAAATTACAATACTTACCCCCCCACCACCCTTTAACAGTACTGAATTATCTTCAGAATGGGCTTTAAAATATCTGTCAAATTATCATTTCAATTGTTTTGAAGAAAGAGTGTTAATGTTTGGTTTAAAAATGCCATTTTATTTTTTATTATAATTTTAGTCAAATCTGAGAAATAAAGTCCGTAGAAAAAATCAGAATATTTTATATGAATAATTCAGATAATCTGAATCAGAATTTTTTTTTCTTCATTACTGAACATCTGTAATTTACATGCAGATCTATTCCATATAACAAATAAAAAAATCATAAAAACAGAGATATAGATGGTGTTCAGTGGTGCGCTATAATCTGAGTCCTGCAGACATCCATAAATATTCAGAAATATATATATATATATATATATATATATATATATATATATATATATATATATATATATATATATATGCGTGTGTGTGTGTGTGTGTGTGTGCCTCTTCATATAGTTTTATGAGACAAACAGTATCTAGACATCAATCCACTGCTTTTTAAGAAACCATATCTCCATTGAAATAACACTTCCTACTTTCTCCAGCTCTGTTACAACATATGCAATTGAAGAGTTTCAGAAATTAGCAGACATTTCTCTTTCTTCCTTTCTTTTCCTCTGCGCGCACTCATACACTCGCGGAGACACACTCCTCCCTTATTGAGACAGGATACCAAAGCTACTTGTTAAATCTAATGCATGCACTGTCAACCCATTTGCACCCCGTCACGTCCCCGCTCAATATAGAAACCGGATTTTCTAGTATTACTCCTCTTTACTCCCCACCATTACAACACACTCAACCCCACGTTTGGGACCATCAGGACCTTCAGCTCACACAACGGCACCGTCCCCAAAAAACAGATTTAACAGCAAACCACTGTTTGATATGATAGCAAATGATTCTTTGATATAGCACAATAAATAATCAAACCTAAATAAATTCAATTTTGGTAATTATAACAAAATGAAGACCTCTTAAAAAAAAACAATAACAAGATTGTTCCATTGTTTATTCAAGTAATGTTTCCTGAAACCAAGTCATTGTGAGTTTTTTTTTTTTTAATCAATGGCTAGAGGACCTAGTAAATAAAAACAATCCACATCGTAAATGTTTAACTGGATCTCATTTGTAAAATCAGGCAGCTTTATGCGTTCGTTTCAGAGCTGCTGCAGACATGCAGGGTCCCCTCTCTGCCTTTGAGTCCCAAACAAACACCAACTGCGCTGATTTTGGGTCTGTTTTCCATTTTGGGAGTTTGTAAAGTCTTTAAAATCATGCTTATTAAGTTTAAAATACGATTCTTTCAAACACAGAGAAAAAAGAATCGCATTAAAGACACCGACCTGAGTGCGGACCCATGGGGAGGTGTGATGAGAAGTACTTCCCGGGCTGGAAGTGTGCCGGGTGCTGCACGGAGCCGTGGCCGCCCGGCGCTATCCGAGAAGCGGCGCTGTGCACCAGGGCGCTCCGCTCTGCCAGTAGGTGGTGCGGCGGGGCGAAATCGCGGCTTTCCATCCTGCTCTTTAAAATCCCCACAAATTCCGAAGCAAAAGCGAAAAAAATCCAGAGGCACCGAAGGTTTCAGGCACCCAGATCGCAAAAATAAAATAAAATATAAATATGATCCCTCTTTATGAGCTTCGCGCTCTCCTCGCTGATCGGAGCGCACTGCACAGCAGAAACAGTGTTCCCTTCATGTCCTGCGGAAAGAGAGAGCAGGAGACAAGTCAGAGCCAGGCAGTGATGAAGTAAAGGCTGAGAGACAGTCCCTGAGAAAGTTTATACAAATTCACATTAGCTATTTATTATCAAAAAGCGATGGAAACTAAAAAAAAACTCCTAAAAAGATCCGGATTAATATAATCTGGCTCTGTTTTCACGATGATTGTTCCACGAATTAACGTGCATGGAAACAGTCTTGTTGGCTTTATACTGGACATTCACAAACACACCTATTCACACCTACAAACACATACTCACACTGACATTATTCCCCTCAAACTAAACTCAACACACACAGAGAGGAGCGCAACAAATGAATACGGAATAAAATGGCACAGTTTGCTCAGGAACAAACATCTAATTCACACATGGCAGCAGAACAACGCTTCGAGTTGGGCTAAGCAACCCTATCTGCAGAGGTGCATTGGAAATACATTTAGTCCCGACTCAACCAGGTCAGACCTGGCTGCTTATACTTGCGCAAAAATTCACTCACCGTTTTTGTGAGTGAATCCTAAAATGCTCCGAGTGTAACATGAGTTGGAGGGTTTTTGATTGATTGAATTGCCATATTTAATTAAACATTTGTCCTAATTTTGTTAAACAAAGGGGAGGACGCAACATAAAAACCAACTTGTAAATAAAACATTATTTGCGAGCTTTTAAATCACCAGACTGGTAAAATATTGTGTATTTCTGCTCTATGTTTAGCGCCACACCGTACTCCCAAACACCAATCATTCCCTCTTCGCTCCAGTGCGAATGGATGCAGCAATAAGCAGTGAGTAGCAATGGACGTTAGATCAATTATATAGCCCTGCACGTTTACTTAAATGGGGCTCTCTGAGATGTGCATGCGTCGCCTAGCAGCGCACCTTCATCTATTAGTTTTCCCGATGCATGACACGTCCATCTAACACCTTGTAGATTCTGATCGCACCTCCACCTCCAAGAAACCGACGATAAAGGGGAACAAAGAAAGAATAAAATGCTCTGGTGGACCGGGGGCTGCAGAAAGTTCACACACACACTTTTTTCTGACACACACATCAAGCTTTTCCTGATTTGTTTATTTAAAGAATAACATTTTGCACAGTTCATTTGATCTAACAGATCGAGTTGTCATGACTGTGTGCGCTTTGTGCGTAAAACACTCACGTATATTTATAAATAAATACCGACCGGGTTTCCTCGGACTCAGAGCGCATTTAAATTATTAAATTTCCTTTTTGTTTGAAAGCCTGGCGTTATCTCTGCGGTGCATATCTGCTCGGCAGCACTGGGAGAAATAAAAGGGTAAAAAAAAAAAAATGTGGTGGGGGACGCAGGCTGGATGGGCTCCTGACTCCCCTCTCTCCGGGGCCCTAAGGCTGTGAGAAACAATGGCCCTTCTCCGCGGGGGCATCAATCACACACCACTCTCCTCTTTGACGTTTGTCTATAGGTTTTTTACATTTTCGGCCCATAAACACACATCTCAGAGTGTTTACATTCCACGTCAACAGAAACGCCACTCAGTCCCCCCGTGTTCGACAACAATCTACGACTCAAAATCCACGCAAAACTGCAACGCTGCGAGCAGCATCATATTCTAAGCGTTTTGGAGCTGTTGCTGTGCGCGTATGATGCCAGTCAACCTGGAAAGGCTTTAGCCTTCCTCTCATCCAAGCGAGACTCCTCTCAGACACACACTACCACACACAGAGGGACGAAGACAGAGAAGAGGTCAAACTATCGCCAGACTGAAGTAACCCACCGCTGGTCAAGGCAGCATTACACGGACTCCAGACAAAAGGCAGAAAATCTGCAAAGCATTGTGGTTAACAGACTTCCTGCAGTGGAGGTTTCGACAAAAGAAACACCTTTTGTGCTTTTTTACCAGGGAAAATGTATCACATCACATTTGTTGAACTTAAAATAAAACTAATTTAATCCAAAAGCTTTAAAATGACTAAGCGTCTCGGCTTCTTCGGCCTACCTCGTCATCTTTAGGGAGATTGAAATAATAAAAAGCAGAACTGACGCATTGGACTAAAAAAACTAGGCCGTCCCGGAGTAGAGAGAGTGGAGCCAGGGCTACAGCCGACTGGCTCGGCTTCTTCCTCAAGCCGCCGAGGAGCGCCGAAGTCTGGACACCTACACACACTCACACAGCAGGAAACTAAAGGACAACATTCAATATTTCAAAAACAGGCTGTTCTTGTGCGCCTGTAATAAAGGATTGAAAGAAAGGGCAGGTAATGTGTGTTTTAAAGAGAGATCATGGCAAGATGTGACACACACACCCACACACACAGCTAAGCCATCCTGCTGCTGCATACTGTTCAGGTGGAAATACACTGACTGAGTCTTTACAATACTGCAGTCTGCTGTTTCCCTGCTTCAGAATAAAGACTGTCTTTGTTTAGTTTTTTAACCATTTTTTTTTTTAAATACAAGCCTTCATCTTATAGTCTCTAATTCCGCTTTCATGTAAAATAGTCAGTTCCCCCATCTTCATAAAGAAAACTTCCCATTTAAGGCTTCTTATTTAACATAAATCTTTCAGTGGAAGAATTTAACTTAAACCGATATTCGCTTCAAAAAAAGTATAGAAATAATTTTCGACTTACTGGTAACTTATATCCGCTTCAGAGCGATGAGGCTAGAATGAAGGGGAAAAGTAGAAAAATATTCACGTGAAAATCCCCGAGTCGCATAGATGAAACATGTGGGATTGATTACATCCTAACGCTGCTGCTGCAGACTGCGCTGTGTGTGCGCTCAGCTGAGGTATGGGAGAGACGCATCATAGAAGTTCAGGCTTGTAGTGAATCGGGGCTCGTTCATGCAGTCGGAGACTCAGACACGCCGCGAGGGGGAGGAGGAGGAGGGGGGGGGTGAAGGGGTGTGTGCGCGGGGAGGAGTGGACGCGCAGGCCTATTGGTTTGTGGATGACAATGTGAAAGCGTGCCCGTGGGGCGCTCCCCCTCCACCCCAACAGCTCTTTACGCACGCACGTATACGCACCAACATTCAAGCGCACACACAGCGTCTCTCTCTCACACACACACACACACACACACACACACACACACACACACACACACACACACACACACACACACNACACACACACACACACACACACACACACACACACACACACACACACACACACACACAACACAGCCACTACCACCACCACCCTCCCTTTCCACGGTAAACACTAGCTGCTATTGGCTGCAGCCGGGAGCCAATGAGAAAGCCGCTGGAGCCACGGAGCGAAACGGCGGGCGTTTGATTTGCAACCCTCGGCGCGCTGCGTGCTGGAGCAAATGCTAGGAGACAGGCGGCACAGCTCGGAGCTGCTTTTATAGAGAGAGGAAAGGAGCCGAAAGAAGCTGGCGCAGCCTGCAAAACAGCAGCTTTTATTCCGTGTGATCCCGCTGCAGCTGAGTTCAAAATATATTCTGATTGGACCAGATCGTTATTTTGCTCCGTGTCAGCGCTGATGTGATCGTTTATTCTTCGGATGCTCCTTCGGGGAAATCCACTTTTACATTTGATTTAGCCTCCGTTTCCCCTGATGAAGCAGATCGCGCCGGTCTCACATACATTGGAAAAAGGGAAGCTTTATGTGTGTCATTAAATTGATCAAAACTTTAATCTAGTATTTAAATTTGTATATACCAGACATATTTAAGGGCCCATGGATTGCAAGTCTAAATATGTTGTACATTTTAACAAACAAGTGAAATGTTGTATTTAACTGTCTCTGGATTAAAAAAAAAAAAAAGCTTTCTGGCTTAATCACAATATATTCTGTAATATTTACACAACTACTACCTCACGTGTGCACTCTTATTGGGATTTGATTCAAACACAGTTTAGAATGTCAAAGGTCAGGATTGGTTTAAACATTAAAGTTTTCTTTCTCACAGTTAATTGCAACAAAAGGTAACTTATTATATATGATATATAAGGGCTAGCAGGGTATTTGGCTTTAGTTATCTCCTTGTGTAACTATTAGGTTTCATTGATTTGATAAGATTTTTGTTTCTGAAAAACTGATAAAAGAAAAATGTTTAGAGATAAGTATTGTTGCGTATATTAGCAAATTAACATATTTTGTTGTTTGTTCTTTTGTTGATAAGCAGTGAAAATAAAGAGATTTTTTAAACTAACATGTGAGAACCAAACCAAGTTGAGCTCTTGGCAAAAATTTTAAACAAACTGCTACATGACTTTAACTTATTATTGGAAAAAAAGAGCGTTTTGAAATAAATAGCCTATTAACCCATGTCGGTTTAGTAACCTGCTATTTCTATTAAGGGCATGTGCAGCCAGCACAGTAATGCTGATACGTATAGAAAAAAAAAAAAGACGTATATTCTTTAAGAAAATGCCAATACCAACCTATACTGATGGTTAGTAAAGTTTAAATATTTTGACAAAAGTTTTTTTTTTTTTTTTAGGACTCGCCTTGACGAAAATTGGAGGTTGTGGCAGCAACCAGAAGCAGACACAGTAAATTTTAACATATATTAGGTTAAAGATACACACGGGTTAGAGATACATTATTGCTAATAGTTGCAACAAAACAAACAGCAAATGGCAACACTTTCACCCGCGCGTGACGTCATTCCCCGATGCCAACTTCGACAACACAAACAATTTAAATGTTCCAACTGTCTTGATCATTTCCATTTAAACAGTTAATCCTAGCCTTGGTTTTCAGGGAATCAGAAAGCTGATTCCCCCCCAAACAACTGCACGTTTATTGTTATCATTATCTCAATTTTATGTCTTAATCATAAACCAAATATAATTTTTTGGTGGGTTTTACATGGGACGACAAACTAGATGAACAAAACTATTTTAAAAATTTGTTTAGTTGACAAATTGCATTTGAGTTTTGTTAGGAGGTAACTTGGTTATCTGTTTCTTTTCATTTTTTAGGAGTTGTTTGCAAAAACATTAAGAAGACTCCCCTAAAGTTATGGGAATGTGACCATTCCCATAACTTAAGGGAATTTTAGCAGTTTGTTCATAAGTTTCAAGCTTTGCAGTTAGCAGTTACCAACAGTCAGAAACATTTTGTTAACTTTCAAAAGCTACAATCAAAGGGGAAATTGGATAAAATAATGCAGTTTAAGGAGAATATTAAGAAAAATATTGTAGCTTTAGTAAATAATCAATCTAGTTTGTTAAAATGTTTAATACAATAATCTAGATAAATATGCCATTCTCCAATGACCCTTTGGGCCATTCTAATATCCATGCTTGTATTTAAAAATATAAAACTACAATAAAGGATTACGAAATATAATGTAATATGTATGTATTTAAGTATTATATTTTATGTTTTTGAATAACAATTATTTTTGGTTTTTATTATTTTTTGTCTTTTACCACGAGCTACTTTTAATAGACCATCCTGCATCCCCCATAAGTATGAAAAGATATAACCGATTGCTGTAAAGCTCCCAAAGATCCCCCCTCCTTTAAAAACGTTTTGGAGGTACCCCAGCCTCAGAAAAATTAGTCTACATTCTGAGCAACATTTCTGCTTAATGGAGCCACGCTCTGCTGGGGATGTTTATATGTTACATGAAACAGACAAAAATCAGAAGAATGTTTACTCATTTAAATTCAATGTGCCCGTTTACCTGCGCCCCACCGCAAACACACGCAAACAAACAACACAGTACAATACACACACTCTGTCACAGAGGACAAATTGAATCAGCGCATAATTTGAAAGCGTTGCTGTCCTCCAGGTTAGCCCAGCGCATGGTTCACTAATTTTGCCAATTAGAAGTGTAAGGATATGAGTTTGTGAAAATGAATAATATATATATATATATATATATATATATATATATATATATATATATATATATATATATATATATATATATATATATATAGGTCAAGGGGTTAAAACTCAGGGTTAGTTCGGCCCAGCCCGGCTCCTCATTGGTTGGCGAGTTGCCAGCGCGCTGTCAATCACCGAGTATAAACAAGGCTCTGATTGGCTGCTGGCCAGTCCGCACTGGGCTGCCTGAAAAAAGCAATTACTGCCCCTGCGGTTTCAAGGCGCCCCTCAGCGCCGAACGATGAAAGGAGATAAGCAGGGCGGTTTCAAGGTGCCCTCCGCCTCCCTCTGCACGGCGAACCCCGTTGGCCCCAGAGCAAAAGGAGAGTCAAGAGTGACTAAATCAAAGGGAGACGGTAGAAAAAGGGGAGAAATTACACGTTGTATTAAACGTGGAGGCTAGATCCGCACAATACAGCAGAAACAACGGAGAAAAACAGGAAAAAAGCGATGCCTCTGCAGAGAATTGAGGGGATTTTTTTTTTCTAACCCAAACAAATAGACTTTGGAGGAAGAAAGTTTTCCCCCTCGTTTTCGGCAAATGGAGGCAGCGAGAAAATAGTAAGATTTCTCTTTTTAAAACCGGAAGCGCCGACTTTTGGATTTGAGTTACAACGTTCACTTGGAGCCACACCTAAAATAAACCCCCCTTTTTTTAACGCCGCTTTTTCAATAAGTGGAAATTTCCGAGTCAAGGCCACACGGGAGCTTAGATAGTTGAAGAGTTTGAATAACAAACTAAATGATAAATTACTCTAGACTGTTCAGGACCAAAAGTTTGGTGAACGTCAAAAATAAATGTTCTGTCACAGTGTAATAAGCTGATTGCTGTAAAAAAAAAAAAAAAAAAATCATGTCAAATTAGATGCATCATAATCCTAAAAAAAATAAAATAATAATAATATGATTTAACTGAACACTTCAAACCTAAAAGCCCAGTTTAAATGTTTCTGCTTTCTGTTTTTAACAGACCGGATCCTAAATCTTCCAGGATCTGAGATCAAACCCCGGATGCGACCCATCCTGCAGAATTGGGTCGTTGGAACCTTTCAGATTTACTTGACTAATTTAATAAAACAAAGTGAAAAAATTAGAATAAAATCAAGTCGGTAAATACATTTCATCCCAGTTTAGCTCGCGGAGAATTCCATACTTGTTTTTCTTGCAGCTGTTTGTTTTAATGGTTCGTGTTAAAGGCAGATCCTGCAGTCTGAGTGTTTTTAGCTGAACCTGTGCAGAAGTGACAACATGGAGCATGCACCTCATAAAGCACACACCCAGCCAGTTCTTTACGTCCATTTCCATTAAATAGCGGCTCTCTGCAGCGCTCTGTCCGGCCCCGAACACGGCATAAACTGGGCTCTGCAGCTCAGAAACCTGAAGGCACAGAGAGCTAATTGAAATAAATAAAAACAATTAAAGACCAAGTCTGAGCATATATATGCTATTTCTCTAATCAGCAGGCATGTTCATATTCCCTTTTTGCCATCACATGCGGAATATAGCCTTAGTATCTTAGTGTGTATTTTCAAAACCTTCAAATTTGTTCAGAGGTTATATTTTTTTAAAAAGTAAACCATTGAGTGAAACAATAATGCCAGGTTATTTATTCTGATAA